CTTTAGGTTAATAAAATTGTGATGATAATAATAATAAAACGTATTGACATAATTCAAAAATAAATTCCTTTAGCCAATGAAATAAAAAAAGTGGATGTTCTGTACATAAAATTAAATTTCTCTTATTCTAAGTATATTGTTAGGTTTATGATATCTTTTCAAAACTATTTTCATTGTTAAGCACGTTTAGGAAATTTTTGGATATCGACGGATTGTCCGACAATCATAAACATGAATATTAAGTATTATAAATTTCTACCCTCTGAGTCAACAACCTTATCATTAGAAAAATACATAGTTCACTCGGAGGCGTTGTACCCCCGTATCTTTGCTAACAGCAGGGACCGCCTGCCGACCCTAAAGCTATAAAATTGTCGGCACTTTAAAATTTAGAGAATTCATACATCAGCCTTTGATTCACTAACATTCATTTTTACCTTATTCAATTCTTCGTTTATTTAATTACACTAGTTTATATTTCATGTATCATTCGCCTTATCGTAGTTGTACTAGTTCTTTTTTATTAAATTATTTTTAAGTGAAAAATCAGTCGGTTTACTAACGTCACATCGAACTATTCTAGTGTAGTACATTCACACTAGAAGTGCAAGCCGATTAAGTTTTGCACAATTTTACATGCACGTTGAAAGTAATGCTAAGCGTGAGATGTGAATTTCTACCTGCAGGATTACAGAAAGCTCACCTTTTGGAGGGTTGATGTTTACAGCCGACCTGTACAATTTTTCCTCCGTCCTCCAGTCTTCGTTTCGTAAAATAGTCCTCGCACTGAATGCTAACAATAGCGTGACAAGTCCTGCTACCGCAAGGTACCTAAACCTTCGCACTTCCCACAATTTGGCACTTCCCAGCCCAACGAGTAAACAAAATCCCGCACTAGGTAAATAAAGCACTCGTTCCGCCACTACAAACCCGACATAGAATAAAAGATTGGTCGCGGGAAGAAATGGAATCACTGTAAACGCGAGCGATAACAAAACAGCCCTAACAACACTCAACGATGTCACCTTTTCATTTTTAAATACCTTCTTAACGTTCACTCGACTACAAGTACAAACAGAATGTGCACTTATATTATTGTTATTGTTATTTGTGCGGCACATCAATGTGTGAGCGTTGGTTATGTTATAATGACAAACGTGACATCGACAAACCCACTTCAGTGATTCGTTACTTATAACTAATGCCTTTTCCGTTGTTTTCTTACTTTTTGTTAATTTATCTCTAGGCATTTTCATTTTCTCCAACGTTTTCCAGCACTTGTAAGTGATTAGTCCAAGTATTGAATAGAAAACGAGACTAACTCCGTTTCGTGGATCAGAAATGGTTGTAATTCTTGGCAGTGCGTCCATTCCCCAATCAAAGCTCAATTCATGAGGATAGAACAGAATGCCTGCGTTAAAAACTGGAAGATAGAGGAATGTGAAAAATCTAGACCAGACTGACTGGACTTTTGCTACCGGATTGTCTGCCGTAGAAAAATAGGGAGTTCTATGGAAGTGAAGTCGAAAAAACAGCATCAATGCGGTTGACATGATCAAAACTGAAGCACTTCTCCATTGTTTCTGAAATGAAAAAGACAGCATTAAAGCATAAATATCAATTTTTATGTCAGTTATTGTTATTCTGTCGACGAATCATAATTCATAAATGAAATAAATTGCGTTATAATGTTTTAGAAAAGTTTTTAATTATTGCTCTACAATAATGTTCAGATTATATACGTCTTTATTATACATTATTTTATTTACGCTTATTTACTATATATTCTACGTATTCTTTAGTAAATGTAAAACATTTAAATAAATGAAAACAGATCTTCTTGTTCGAGTTGTTTTTTCCTACCGTTTCTTACGGTAAAACATTATCTTACATGATTCCTGACTCTTTGCTATCGTAGCCTACATTTAATTTCAGTAGTATGAGTTCCTACACGTTCTACCATTAATACGACCCCATTTTGATAAATTAAAATTTATCTGTTTCAATACCTTCACAATAGTTTGAGCTATACCTATAATAAGCATGTTGAAGGACGTTGTTTATGTAAAAAAATTCCTACAGTTATAAAATTTCAGTATGTTTATTGTAAGTCTTAGATATACCTGCATTTGCCAGAAAACTGATTTAGTCTGTGTAGTTTCCGAGAAATCGAAGTTCAAAATTTGCTTTTTTAACATTGGCTCTTATGGAGATCAATCAAAATTACGTATTGTATCAAATCAATAAAAAACTATTTATACTATGTAAAAAGCCTTGTTGAAGCACTTCACAAAGTTACAGAAATTTTTTCTGTCCCGTTCGTGAGGAACAAATAAAAAAGAATACGAAAAATGAGAATTTTCAATTTTTTACAATAAAAAGTATAGACACATGGCAACATCTCATACATATACAAGGAAAGATTACTATACATTTACACACGCATAGTATTAATGAAGTTTGCCAATAGTACATCAGTACCTAAATTAAATTGAGTGCGCTGTTGCCACGATTAGCACATTTTATATTGAAGTGAAAAATTGGCTTTTGAACGCTTAGATTTATGGTTAGAAATATTGAATGGAGTATGAATATAATTAGATAGTAAATTAAATTCTTTTAATGAAGTTTCAATCACCAACAAATTATTTAAAAAATTAANTTCAATAACTAAGAAATTATTTAACTATTTAAAAAAAGCATTTATATACTATTGGCAGCCATGAGCGGCCTCTATGTGTACGCATAGGCGTTCACGTCTCGCTCCCTGTCCCGCAAAGACGTGCACAACTACTTTTTTTTTTAACCATTTAGTCGAGAAATACTTTATGTAAAGTCTGAAAAGGTGGCAACCCTATGCACAACCCTCCTTCCAAGTTCCAAATAGCGATACACTACTTCTATTTCAATATTATTTAACAAATTTTAGGTTAGGTTAGGTTAGGTTAGGTAATGCTTTGATGTTTATTTAGTTCAGTTCTACAAAGTACTCTATTCGGTTGATATACTGTTTCATGTTCTGCAGCCCATTTATAAGTTTTATATAAAGTTCTATAGCGATTTTTCATATCATTCATTGAAAGAAAATGCAATTTTAAGGCACGCCGTATTTTATGTAGGAGATTTAAACTGGCAAATATAGGTACAAGGTTCCTCGATCCATTTTATGGGCGCAATAAAATAATCAGTAGCAAAGGCGAACCTTTCTATCGAATTATTTTTATGCATATGGAGCGATAAATCAGAAAATCCAATCCAAGAAAATCTTCGGGAAACGGTAGTCATATACTTCACCTTGAATAAATTGCATAAGAAGCTTCTAGGCAATTTAGGAACCACATCGAGCGAGGCAATTTTATGAAACAAGGAAATAGGCGTATTTCCGGGAACAAGCAATCAGGAACAATAACGTATTCGGCTTCTCAAAAGAAACGGACAGACCCAAAAGAAATTTGGCAAAAAGCGAATCGAATAGAATTCCTTGAGCTAAAGTCGTTCGACCTAATAACCAACCACAGTTACAGAGAGTCACGACGAATATTGCTTATATAATACCGCATTTTCATTCGATGTCGAACTTCATATATTTTGTACTGTTATTACTTAATTTTGTTTAAGCAAATCTTTCCGTAACTGTAATAATTGAAACCCATATTGAAACTAAATTTCAATCTCACATACGTGTGTATATATTTACCTACTAAACAGTTTTCCAAACAGTACTGACGGATTTAGGCTTCTCGTTAGGCCTGAAAAGCACCAGAGTATACCACAAAAACTCGAAAATTAACATCCTTTTTACAAATTTTTGTTTTTCTTTTTTTTTTAAGTGAAAAATACACATCTTCAAGGGTATTTCTTCTTTCAGTTTCAAATGTTCAACAAAGGTCAATAACAACTAACCGTTCTCTTACATAGACCATCGACTCTTGCTACATTCAGCATTTCTACGAAATAAAAAAAGCGAAAACACAACAGCAATGAGGAATTTATTACTAATGAACAAGTAATTAATTTTATAATTAGTTTTTAAAACTGTACGGCAAATACCACTGGGTTCATCATCAGTAAATGCTTAAAACCTGTTAATTAATAGATTATTTAGCAGTCCCGTAGGAAAAATTTCCTTTGAAATTCAATGGGAGTCAATGGTAAATTTGTCAATTCCATTCAAATCCAGTTGGCATAAATGGAAAAATAATTGTTTCCATTTACAATAATTCCATTAATATTTACATAGGAATAATTTCCCTTGATTTTCAATGGGAACCAATGAAAAATTTATAAATTGTATTTAAAACCATTCGATATAAATGGAAAAACAATTGGGGTACCTAAAAATGGAGAAGATCTGGTATGAGATTATTATAACTAAAAAAATGGAGAAAAACGTGCTGAAGTTAATGAGATTGTCAAAGCAAATTGTATAAATAATAAACAAGACATTATTTGGAATAATAATTGTCATGTAATTAATATTTTTTCCGTGGAGATACCTCATATTTCATCTTGATTAAAATGAATGTGATTTAATTACTACTAACAATAAAATTAAACGTAAAAAATAAAGAATTGACACTAGGATTTCCATTCGATTCAGGAATGGAAGTTTCAATGGAACGCAATGGAAATCTTATTGAGTTTGGGAATGGGATTTCCACTAAAATTTTAGAAATTTTTCCTACGGGATAAAAAGATTGTTTAAAAAACCAAAACTAAAATTTTAATTTCCTCCCAATGTTTTTAGGATAATAATAATAACTGTAAAAAACTGCCAGAAAATAAAGAAAATCACAAGCAATTGTGCATGATGATTATGCTTCTTGCTGCAGATATAGCAGGAAATGCAATAACATTGCAATTTGGTTTAATTATGGCTTGAAAAATATTAATTGTAACTAGCACACTTCAGGTAGAATTGGAAATGTTACAGTTTTGAAAATATTTTTATTAAACAGATCCCTTTGACTTGTGCATAGATAGATACGTGTTGGTACCAACTTTTAAATTTTAAAAATTTTAAATTTGTCGTCATACTTATTCCTTTGAAGTGTCTATCGAAGCATACATTAATAAATTAAAGCTCACTCTTGTGTCGATAAACAATCGGCTTTCTCGGGTATTTCCTGGCGGAATTGAACGCATTTACGTTTTACTTGTTGCATATTTCGTAACGTGAATGATGGTGGAGCACGCATTAGCTGCAGCTTATAGCCAATTGATAAATAATTCCCACACTCAAAGTAAGCGAAAGACGTAACCGTGGTTCAAAAATTACTTATATAATTAAGGGTGAGCCTTTTACTTATTTAAGTTGTAGTACTTTTTTAGACATGGATCTCGATTTCAACTATCTTGGATCTCAACAGCACGTCGTTCCGATAGAATACAAACCAACTCTACCTTTACTTACTGCCTTTAGACAGCGTTTTATAATATACTAGAAACAGTGTGAAAAACGTCATCTGTAGTTAGTACAGGTACTACTACTTTTAATGGAATTCAAAACTGTTCAGCAAGGTCCACAAGAATATGAACTTGTCGAACTGAATCCACGGCGTAACTAACTCTGAATACTGGCCGTCATATATGCTTTTTGTTCTGTTTGATTACGTGTGTTTATCGTGTAGGGTTAGCTATGCTGTGTATTCAGTTCGACAAGTTGATATCCTTATGGACCTTGCTAAACATTTCTAAATTCCACTAAAGGTAGAAATATACTGAAGATGACGTTTTCCACGCTGTTTGTAGTTGTACAATAACAAAGGAGTTTAAGAATGATCTAAACTAGGAGTGAAAGGTTTGAATTATAAAAAGGTGATGCAATTTGGACTGTTGATTTTTTAGAGTGGTGCAATTCACTTGTACATGAATTAATAATCTAAAGTCGTTTTACAAATAATGCTATAAACTGAAATTCAATTTTTGATAATGGAAGCACATGATTCTTTACGTACAAGTGGTGGAAAGTTTTTGACGGTTTAGAAACTGTTTACAACCACGTTCATGTAATCGAGATTCCACTTTCACGACAATACAAACAACTTTAGCGAATTATGGTAATGTCGTTGAAACTAGGTCAGTAATAACGACAGTCTCAAATTCGACGAAATACTGCTCTGAATATGGTTAGAGGATGCTATCCAATTTTTCGTACATCTCAAATAAACAGAGCACGGCACAGGCTTAAACTGGAGCTAATAGGCTAATGGTCTGTAAACATATAGCGCAGTAGTCGTAAGGAAAAACAGCACAAAAGAGTCGGCGCTCGACTCTGATGGAACTCACAAAAACGGCAAATGGTTATGAAAGATTATGACGGATGGCTTGTTAGGAGATTATCGGTGGACTCTCGCATGTTAGTTTGCTCATTTTCAAGAAAGTGACAAATAAGGCACACATAAATACGTAATATGAAATCACACATGGATTCACAGTAAAATAGGTAAAAGAGAAAGTTAATCATCCAATTTTATAAGCTAGAAATAGTCATTTAATTCGCTACCTAAAACTCTAAACAAACTGAATAACATGAGAAGTGAATTTGGAATTAGAATAAAATGCCTAGACTCATTTTATTGAT